AGTGAGTTCCAGGACAGCTGGGGCTACAAGGAGACCCTGTCTCAAAAAGACAAAAAAAAAAAAAATATATAGAATCTAACTCGATGTTTAATACTGAAATTCTTATTTTAGAGACAGATTCCTCATACAATGCTGTTTTATATTTATAATATAGTTGAAATATTTTTGTTTAATATCATAAACTCTGTAGGAAACTACTCAGGCTATATCATTTGACAGATATATTTGTAGTATTACTTTTCAACCATAGAACCAAGATTTCAGAAATCACATTTATAAACATTAGATAATGACCAAACCATAACTGGGTAATGCTATAGAACTTGTGACAGGAAGTTCATGGCATGACATCATGACTTGTGGCTTTCATACAAATACTGTCAAGTGCCTCGGGTCTGTGTGGAAGGCAGGACGGAAACAGCTGTTACAGGACTCAGTTTTTTTCTCTGTGAAGTTGAGATCTGTGGCTTGACCAGGATCATGGGCCTGAAGGGTGGGCGAGCTGGTACTGGACCCTGCTTCTTGTTGGCCCCGTGTTTTTGTTGCGGACCATAACAAACAGTGATTCTGGTTAAAAAAAAATCGACCTCAGTAGTCACCAAGGTGGACACATGTTGAAGAGAGTTTTCCTAGCAAGCAAGGTGTAACCTCTAAGCCTTTTGGTTTGGTGTTGCTTTTTAAAATAGAAAGCTATTGTGTAATGACCCGTGTGTGTCTCTAACCCAGAAGACACATTCTGGTCTGCCTACCTTCTGTCCCTGAACTTTGTGGGGACAGGAGGTCTCCCCATGTCTGTACACGGGGCCCTTACTGGTGTGATGCAGGGCAGCTCTTCTCCAGGGTTAGATTTGGCCCTGCTGGGCTGTCCTCTATGATCACAATCACTGAAGCCTGTATGGAGTTGAGGCTCCATGCTTCCACATCCTGTGCTGAGCATGTGCTCTTGCACACTGACTGCCAGCTCAGACCAGTTGTCATCAGTTCCACTGTCTTGAGGGACTAGTGGTCTTTTCCTTTTCTACTTCTGATTTGAATATCATTGTTGTTTATTGAGCAGCTCCACTGACGTTGGATGCTTGGATTACTTCTATTTTTTGTATTCCTATAGATCATCTTTAAATAAAGTCACTGTTGAAGAAAATTGGATGGACAGTGCCAAAAGTTCTATCAGAACGAGTAGGTCATCTGCCAGCTAGTTTGACTGTTTACCTTTCATCATTTCCTCCATTCTGAGTATCAGTTCTGCCTTTTGCTGCCTGCCTCCTGATTGGGGTTGGGGTGGGCGGGTGGACCGACCAGAATTGACTGCTGCATCTTACAGCTTTGTGCTCGTTGGCTGTCCCCTTCCTCTCCCTTCCCTTGTCATCTTTAGCTTCTCTCTGTGTGATTTGTTCCCTTTCCACACTCCTGACTTTTCCTGACTTTATCCTCTTATCGAGCATTTGTTGAACATTTATCATGTTCTGGGCCCCAGAGAAGGTGAAAGAAAACCAGAAAGAAAAGGGGTGTAACTTCCTGCAGTAAAGCACAGGCCACAGGTGCTGTGGGAGTGTGTGGGAAAGGACAAGATCTTTCTGGGGGAAGTAGGGGGGTCGTCACAGAGAAGGCAGAGGCACATGAGCACCTTCACTCGGAGAACTGGAACGGAACTGGAAGGGAACTCTGAAGCCAAGGAAGAGTGTGAACTGGCATTGGGGAAATGAAAGTAATATGAATAATATAAGAGACCTTGCCAGAAGAAGGAAGGATTGGAAGCTTTTTCAGCAACCTGAGGGAGAGGATGAGGATCAGATTGAGGTGGAGTGTAGAAGTTCTGGTCTCTGAGGAAGAGTCAGTAAGACAAGAGTGGGTCATCGTCAGAACCCGCGTGGGGTGCCAGCAGTATAGCAGCTGTTCCGTGATGCCCTGACCTGAAGGTGGGACTCCAGGAGGGCCAAGGTAGCTGGGAAAATATTAGGATCCACTGTGCAAGTGATAAGCACTCTGTGTGATGTCTAGATGGAGCTGCCCAAGAGGCTGTCAGAAGTATGGCTCAGGAGTCAGAGCTGAAGATGTGGTATCTTTACAGTTCAGATATTTTTAGATTTAGACTGTCCAAGGAAAGTGTGTATAGGAAACAAGAAAAAGAAACGGCAGGGGTCTGGGGAGAGGTAGTTCAATTGATAAAGTGCTTGGAGAAACCAAGGTCAGTTCCCAGAACTCAGATGAAAGCAAACAGGTATGGTGGTACATGTTTGAATTCTCAAAACCAGGGAGACAAACACAGGTAGATCTCTGGCCAACCAGCTAGCCTAACTTACTTCTGAGAACCTAACTCAAAAAAAAGAGAAACAAAAAGGTGGTGGTACCCAAAGTTATCCTCGGGCCTCCACATACACAGTGCACATACATCAGCACACACATGCTCACACAAAAGAAAGGTAACTGGGGACATATTTAAGAAATGGGTTTTCAAGGATAGCTACCATTTCACTGAAACTCCCCATTTATTGGGCTATAGCTAGTAAGATACCTTGACCTGCAGGCACCTAAGGGTCAGGAAGAGAAGGAGGAAGAGCCAAAAGTCAGCTGTGGGGCAGGAGCGAACCACTGAGGGGAAAGCTGGGCTTCGGTGGCATGGGTCAGCTGCTGCTCAGACAGAGGTGGTGATGAAGTGTGTGTGTTCAAGATTCTGAGCTCAGTTAAAGCTGTGTAGCATGCCTTTGCTCTCTGAGTATTTCTTTTGTGAAACACTTCAAGAATTGACATAAGCACTAGCTATTTAGAACATTCTTTGTAATTGGAAAACTGATCTGAATGTGGGCATAGCTTTTAATCTTTCACTAGTATTAGCTCTTCTCGTGTGCCATACACCAGCCTTTGTTTTCTCTTTACATTTTGTTATTGTTTTAGAAAGTTGCTAGCCCAAAGTTTACTCTCTGTGGATTAGGTTACACTGTGGCCTTTTAAGTCTGAACATCTGTTGATACAAGCAATAATGTTTACACCTTGTGTCCATTTTACTTGTGTGACTTAACTGTAGTGTGCTGAGAGGAGAAGGTGGGAGGCCTGCCTGTCTGGGATGGTATGGGGAGATGGTGGCACTCTCCCCATGAAGGCCTGTCATCCACCATTTTAATTCCAGATAAGGCATCTCTTGGTGCCTCACTAACTCACCAAGTAGCATTATGAATCTGGTGTTTAGAAGTTGTATGCGTGTCCGCTTCTATGGACCATAAACCTCAAGCATGATGAGCAAGCCACTTGATGTCAAACTCCAGAGCTAAGGATCTGTTCCAGTGTGGTAAACTCTTCTGCACCCAGTGTTCAGACCGTCCACTAAGTCTGCTTCCCCTGAGGGTTTCTTGAGGCTGCTTGGACTGTCACCTCTTGCCCACCCTTCAGTACTGCATTCAGTAGAAAGACCACAAGGTTAGCTTAGAGTCAAAAGGGCTTGAAGCCTTTCATTTCCTGAGTTCTGGAAGAGAATTTGGCCTCCTGTAGAAGGAGAAGTGTTGGCATAGTAAGGGGTGTGGAGAGGTTGTTTTGATGGGGTTGGGGAAAGAGCTGGGGCAGGGCATCGCCACCTTAGCATCCTACCTCAGTTCCCCTGTAGCCGAGGAGAATGCATTCACCTCCTTTGGCCTTGTTTTCCTTTACTAAATGGGGTATCTGTTGGTGAATTTGCGTCAGAGGAACAAATGACATGGACAAATGGAATGGCCCTAGCAAAGGAAGGCTGTGCTTTGTGTAGCTAGTGACTAGCTCCTCTTGGAGAGCAGCGCCACCACTGACCAGCTTCTGCAGGATCTCTGGGGCTGGCCCGAGGCTGGGGCCATTGACTGGCATCTGAGTGACTGCCCTAGAACAGTCTGGAGATGAAAACAGTGCCTTCGAGGGGTCTGGGCTGCCTCGGCTGCCTGACTCTCTGCTCAATGGAGTCTGCCTAGTTGCTCTTTTTTTTCCTGTGTCTGTCGTCCCGTCCCATGTCAAGTGAGGCCAAGGACTGTGTTCTTGAAAGATGCTTTTCTGATTCTTCTGGCTCTTCGTAACTATCCCTTCCATATTGAATATCTGCAACATGGAACAGCAATTTCTCCAGCAATATTTGCTAGTCATTTGAGTGTAGTTTCTTGTAGGTACAGGCGTATAGATTGCTTCGTTCTTTTTTTGTTATGTGTGTATTACCTGTGGCCCCAGCTAGCCTGTGGGTTCCTTGATAAACAGTCCTTTTTGTTGTGTGTCACTTTCTTTTCCCTATAGAACTCTCATTGTTGCGGTTCCTCAGTGCTGAGCTAACAAGAGGCTACTTCCTTGAACATAATGAGGCCAAATACACAGAGCGGAGAGAGAGAGTGTACACCTGCTTGCGAATACCCAGAGAACTGGAAAAGGTACTATTTGTTTTTCATTTCCAGACATCATTTGAAAGTGTGAGTAAGTAAATGTGTTTGGGGATATAGGAATTCTTTTGTGGACAACAGCTTATAAAAGTTACATTTTTAGTATAGGGATGGCATATTGATGAATCTATCCAAATCTTAACTTTGCTACATACTAAACCGTATTTGCGTCACCTCTAAGGGAATTACTGCCCACCACTGTACTCTCAAATGTCCCTTCATTATGTTTTTCTAGAATAGCAGGGATCTTTCCATTTGGCATGGCAACTTACTCAATTCCAGGCTTTTGTAAGGTTTCTGTTTCTTAGAATATCTGTATTTGAAGACATAAGTGACAGGATCTTCAAAAAAAAAGATGATTTGTTTAACCCTTGTCACAGAAAATATCACATTAAGGATAAACATAGAAAAACAACACTGGGTCTTCCCATATTTCACCCCCTTGCCTGTCAGTCTCTCCAGGTCAATCAGAGGATAAGAAAGCTCTTTTTCCTCTGGGCACTGCTGGAGTTAGTGAGTCCTGAGAGATTCTAAACCTTGTTACAAGAAAGATGTATGAGATAATTCGGCTTCGCTGTATGGAAACATGAACTTTTATAGTAACATGTAGCTTGTACCAGTCTGGCTGTTTTCCTCAGAATCACACTTCCTATTCAGTGGCTCTGGGAAGCTCCCTTGGCTTGCTCTGTTTGTGAGCTGTGAAGCAAGAGGTGTGGCAGGCCGTGGGAAGCAGCCACCCAGCTGGTTTGGCTGATGTTCTTTTTATTCTGATAATCCACACATTGGGAAAAAGCAAGTGCCAGATTGTGGGGTGCCACTTGCGAGGTTTGAGGGAGTCCTGTACTTGGGTGAGATTTGGTGAGGTAAGCCTTCAGAGTGGCGAGAGCGAGGACCGAGGTTTTGCAGCTTCTGCTGAGGGTCAGTCCATGTGCATGCTTACTTAGTGCATTGCTGCCTTTCTAGGGAGGACGAGGGTCCCATGGAGGAGCCTGAGGGACTGATGGAGGAGGAGGAGGTGAACACTGAGAGGCTGGCTCTGCAGTACTCCTCCCTCAGCACTACAGCAGTTGCATTTTATGTTTAGGGATTTAGCTAAGATTGTGTCTAGGGCTGGAGGCAAGGTGAGACAGGTGTTTCTTATGAGAAGAAAATAAAAGTTGAAACCAATTCTTATGTTTGAAAACATTTTTAGGCTGCTTTTTAAGTCTCACTTTTTTCTTCCAGTGATAAGCCATGGCCTGGAAGTGTTAGGACACAGTGCAGAGGCAGGTAAAGGGATGATCTGCTAGGGCCTCAGTTTGTCGGGGACAAGGCCAGCACATTTAGCCTGTACCCACTTGGCCTCAACCCTTCACGTTGGGAAAGTTTCTCTCCCAGTAAGCAGTCCTGGATGCCATTTTTCTCCATAGAGGGATTTGGCTGCACCGATAGCCGGACTTCAAGAATGCAACCAGAGTCTGCCTCACAATGGGGCTGTGTATGCCTGACCCCTTTGTTAACCATTATGTGACAGTGGCAACATCCACTAATTCTGTTCTTCATCAGAGGCAGGTCCAGTGTACATATCCATTCTCTTTCATAGCAACATTGATGGCAAGCGGCATGACTATTTCATGTTGTTCCTTGAGCATAAACTGCCTCCTAGGGAAAACGCCCACAGGTCTTGAAGGATAAGCAAGTGCTCTTAAACTAGGCCCACACTGCAGGGTCAAGTAATGTATATGATAAATGGCCATCAGGATTTGCTTTTTCTTTAAAAGAAGAAATCAACAGCATCAGAGCATTGCCTGTACCATGGGTCAGTGTTATTTAGGAACCTTTGTGTTAATTTCTATGATGACTAAATGTATAATATCCAAAGAGCTAAGTTAACTCTGCCCTCATTTCCCAGTTATTTTGCTTTTCATGAGAGGGACTTCCATGAAAGAACATGTACTTCTATGTAGGAAAGTTTGATTTAGTTCCTTAAAGAATACTTCAGCTTTAGGCCGGGCATGGTGGCACTTGCCTTTAATCCCGGCACTTGGGAGGCCAAGGCAGGTGGATCTCGATGAGTTCAAGTCCAGCCTGGTCTACATTGTGAGTTCCAGGCCGGCTGGGGCTACAGGGAGACTCTGTCTCAAAAAGTCTGTCTCAAAAAGAGTACTTCAGCTTTATAGCTTACAAGGGCAAAAGGATGTTGGATTTTTCATTTGAGAACAAGTTCTCCTTGACCTCCAAGATCAAGTGAGATGTAGAAGAAAGCAGAGTTAGGTGTAAGCTTAATACTGGTCTTGAAGTTCTCACCTAACAGCATAAACTTCTTAGTCCTGTATGTTATACAAGTAGGGTCTTTAAGCTTGACAGCCTACCTAAGCCCTCAGGTTAATCTAAATTATTTTACTGCCTTCCTTTTAGTTAACATTATCTATGCCAATGTATAATACCTTCTGGGTTTTTTTCTTGTTTTCTTGGTAAATTCTATCATAATTGTCACCTAACACTATCTAGAAGAGAGTGAAAATTAGAGGGCACTTTTTTCTTTCTGCAGAAGCTGCAGGTACTACAAAACATGTGGCTGTTTCTACTTAAGGTCAAAGGAAAGAAAAAATCAACTCATTATCTCTTACTAAGCTTGTTTACTAATGTGGAACAAAATAATCACAGACCTTTATGTGCTGTTGCTGCTGGGTTAACAACTGTACAGTGATGCTTCGTAAAGACAAGCGATCTGCCTTTGAAATGGTGCTGCCAACCTCTCATTAACACCTTTTAACCAGATTCTTCTGCTGTAAGACATAAAATGTTGGAGCATTCCATTGGCTTGCTAGAAGGGAGCTCATTTCTTTTTTCCACCAACACCGCCTAGTCCCCTCCCAGTATTTGTGCTCTTATCTGAGATAAGATCTGCCCTGACTGCATTGTGGTCCTCTTGGGGAGCTTTATTTTCTCTCCCATAAAACCAAGGCCATTGAACCACAGTTTCTCTGCATTCTGAGGTGAGATGCCAGGGAGTGCAGGGCCTGAGTAATGAATTCTAGAGCCAAGCTGTGCTGCTGGCTTTAAATCTGAGCCCCACAACTTTTAGCTGTGAGTCTTGAGTAATTCTATTAGCTTCCTCACCATAGGTGAACACTGTAGACTGTGTTTTAAAATCTTTACTAGCCCTTCACTTCAGCATCTTGTAGGGAGCACTTACACACCTACCTAACCTGCCCTGGATCAGGGGAGTTCTTCAACCCGATTCATTGCAGAGCTTTAAGGGTATAGTGGGAGATGCTTGGGAGAAACCTGGTCTCCCAAGACTCCCCTGGGTCTTGTCTTTAGCTCACTTTAACTTCAAGTCTTTCTACTTTGCTTGCTGTTAAACATGACTTTGCACATAGTTGACACCCTAGAGTCCAGCCCCAGTGAGATGCAGCTGGAGACGAGGCTACGACAAGACAATACTGTTAAAGTCCTATGTCTTCTGCTCTCCTGTGTGGTGAATCCCTGTGCTGACTTCCAAACAGAGCTCACTTCCCACCTACCTGCTGATGGAGATAGGTGCTAGGATATGCTCTACATTTTGACTTCACAGAAATGATTTACTGTGCATCAAATAAACAATTATCTCTTGTCCAAGGGCTAATTTTGTCATCTCTGCATCCAAATCTGCAATCAATATTTAGGAAATGCACACCATAGTATTTTCTAAAATTCTCTGATCTGTAAATACTCAGTTAAGCAGATAAACATCACTTATTTATTGATTTGTTCTGTTTTATCTACTTATAGTATGTTCCAGGCAACATGGAAGTACATAGATAAACATAAAACTCAGATTATACCGTGGTGGGAAATAATAGGTAATTTAATTGTTATAGAAGATACAGAGTGGGAAGCGCATTTAAGTAGTATGAATAAAATGCTACAAGAATTTCAAGAAGGAAAAGTTCACTTAGAAGGTAAGCCTGCAGAAGAGGAACAGGCAGAGCTTATGAAGGAAATGAGAGGCAAAGCAGGAAAAGATAGAGGTAGATTTTGTACACACATCATAGGGCATGTGGGCACATGCCACATAGTGTGGGTGAGTGTGTTGGAAAGACTCAGACATGGGCATTTTTAGATAGCAAGGAGCTGGTAGGACTGAAAGATGGGCTGATTCAGGTTTTGATGAATGGTCAGGCTAAATAGTTCAGGACCCAGGCCTTGGAAGGTATATTCCTTAGGAGTCCTTCTAGCTCTGTGTAACAGAAAACTTAGCTAACAGAGGCTTGATCAGGTGGAAGACACTCTCTCGTTCTCTTGCTCTTCTGAGCAGAGGTCGCAGTTGTCCCAGCATGTTAACAGCCCGTGGATCCCAGCCTCTTTGTCTCTCTAGTGTGCCATTCTTGGTCAGTTAGATTTTGATTCTCCAGCTTGTTGATTTTTGACAGAAACATGACAACTCTATAGTACTACCTTTTGACCGCCCTTCATAGAGAATTAAAGCTTTCTCAGGACTCATTCAATACTTCTACTTCTGTCTTGTTCACCAGACTGAGCTACCTAGCCATCGCCACTCTAAGGGAGACGAAGACAGAGAATGTTAGGTTTTAACCATAGAGGAGAGGGTTAAGAGCAGTTCTTGAGTCAGCCACCGAGCTCTGCTTCTGAAAAACTAGCGCAGCCATCCTTGCTGTGGAAATAAGCGAGGCGAGCTCAGAAACCTTCCGTATGGTGCGTGGTCCTTCTGCAAAGCAAAATCTTCAGTTGATTTATTTACTTCTTATGTCATTTATTCTTTGTGTTAAACAGGTCAGATGCAGGTTATAACAATAGTTATTGTTGTAAAGCTTTTACCAAGATTACTTCTTGTTTATGAACCTTGCCTATCATAAAAAGTCAAACTAAAATGAAAGTGTATTTTTGCCTCATAATTCCATGGTTTTGGAAGTCCTTTACTTCATTGTTAACATAGTTTATACATTATACTTTTTTAATACACTTTTATAAAAATTAAGTTCAACTGCTTAGTTTTAAGTGGAACT